AATTAATGTTTTCTAAAAATAAACTATTTACAAATATAAATTGTTAAAATAGTTTTAAAATTTAGAGAATATAATATACCTTTGTGGAATAGAAAAAACTAAAAAATCTTTCTTGCGAACAGAAGGAATATAATTTCATCTTCTTAATACGATGCAATACATTGGCAGTGTGCAATTAGAAGAAGGAACCGTGAAGTCTTTGATAAAAGTTAAAGGTGTGGTTAAAGGAGTGACATACAAGAACAGCGCAGGGGAAGAAATAAATGCATTTGCACCTCTCACTGTGGTATGCGACGGTTGCTATTCAAATCTTCGTCGGTCAGCCATCGATAACAAAGTAAGTGAACACTTATTATCAAGGGCGGAGGAGGGGATTCAGCTGACCCATTTAATTTTAATATTTAAAATGTTTCGCCTAAATTACCAACAACACAAATTTTCAACGGACCCATATTGTGAAGTTCCACACGTTTCTCCAACTCGAAAAAACTATTTTATATCTTAATGTTAAGTATATTCATATCTTTACTATTATTTGCGAAGTAATTCTCCGAATAAGAACTCTCACGTTAGAAATTAAAACGTTTGAAATCGTTGTTATCCTTAATAAATCTTTATATATAATTTATTATATAATTAAACACAAATTTTAATTTAATAATATTAGATTTCTATGATTATAAATTAATATTGTCAAAAAGAAGAAAATAATTCTTATATATATTATGTTATCATCTGCAAAAATAGTTTCTATTATTAAAGTTAAAAAAATTAAGACTAAATATTATAATTAAATATTAATTAATAAAAAACATTTATATAAAAATATTTCTAATTTATGTGAGTGTTTCTAAAATTTCAAAAAAACAAGCATATTTAATGATAAAATTATCATATATAAATAACTTTATATTTAAGTTCAATATTTTAATAATTTTGTAAATAATTTTACTTTAATAAAAAATAAATTAAATAGTTATTAAAAATTATGTTCGCATGTGTGGTCAAAACACCTAATATATAGTAATTTTAATTATACAAAAAGATTTATAAATAAAGTAAATATCACATATTTATATTCATTTCCCTTGATTGAATTGCAGAGCATACAATTTTTTTTTTAAATTGTTAAAGGCATAAAATTAATATTAATTGTATGTATTTATCTTTGTAGATAAATTATCATAGCTTTGATGTTTATATTTAAACAACTATCCTTTGATTCAGATTTCAACACTAGTAAAAATTGAATATAATAATAAATTATATAAATATCAATAGATGGTATCTTAATATCAATTAATTAAATTTAAATTATCAATTCTACTTATAATATTAAACTCCAAAACGGTTTTATTTTTCAGTAATAGTAAATAATATTAAATTTTAAAAAGTTATATATGTAATAATAATCCACAATTTAATCAGTTTTATTTTTCAGTAATTGTACATAATTTTCAATTTTAAAAAATATATGTAATAATTATCCACAATATTATTTTCTATATTATTATTTAGTATTCATTTTTTATATAAGATTCCGGTTGACAAAATTTCTGCCTAGCCACTGCTTATTTTAAAGCATTGTAGACCTTTTTATATCCTCACTGATGGTCTTGTCACGTCTATATGTATACAGGAGGAAGTGCTCTCGAATTTTGTGGGATTCGTCGTGAAGAATAGCCGACTTGAAGATCCTCATAGTATGCATCTGACTTTTGCTAAACCTCTACCCTGTGTGTTATATCAAATAACCAGCGATGAGGTTCGTGTTGCTGCCGAGCTTCCTGCCGACAATATTCCTTCTATAGCGAATGGCGAAATGGTTAACTTTCTCAAGAAAACTCTAGCTCCTCAGGTACACGTATTCAAGGAATCATAAGGAGTTTCTTTGATTTCGAATGGTGTAATTTTTGTATCTATCATTAATCCTTTTCGTGTTGTAGATACCTGAAACTGGAAAGCTCCGGGAGATATTTTTGAAAGGGGTTGACGAGGGACTACAAGAGGTAAAAGTTCATGCGACTATGAGTATGTCAGCGAAGCCGAGTGATAAGAAAGGAGTGATTGTGTTGGGAGATGCATTCAATATGCGTCATCCTATAGTCGCTTCAGGGATGATGGTTGCACTCTCGGACGTTCTCATTATACGTAATCTTCTCAGGTCATTGCCTAACATTGGCAATGCCAAGAAGGTCTCGGAGCTTATCAAGTCCTTTTACATCATCCGCAAGGTTGGTTGTTTGCATTAATTTGCAAAATTTCATGGATTTTATATTTATATTTTGACTGGTGACCAAAGGAATGTGTGGGAATAGTTAATTCCTTTTTATTCCTTAAATTTGACACCATTTATAAGGAATCATAATAGTTAATTCCTTTTCATTCCTTAAATTTGATACCATTTATAAGGAATAATTTTTCTTCAATATTCCTTCTCATTCCTTTTATTTCAAGGAATCAAAGAATAAAACCATTCCTTATCAAATTCGGGGAGGAACAACATGAAACAAGTGTTCCTATTATTTTGTTCCTCTTCATTCCTTTCCTCCTTGTTCCTATTATTCCTTTGGTTGTCACCAGTCAAAGCCTAGAAAATAAAGAAAAAATATTGGCAATAATAAATGAACTGACTCATAGTATCATTTTATAGTATACGGTAAATTACGTCCAAGGCCAGTCATGGACCAATCTGAATGAAACATTGATGTTAAATCCCCAATAGACATAGATCTAAAAACCAATTATAAATCTCCAAATTTGTATTAAAAAAAAATTAATTGACATTTTTAATAAATTGTATATAGCCCTCTAATCACTCAGATTAGGTCATGTTTTTGTTAGCAAGTTCTCTTAGACTAGATAGACGTATATATGACTCTTTTAGTCAAAGATCACTTAGGGAACATTTGGACAGTGCCATTGCTCAAGATTTAGTATATATGATATTCATTTTCTATTTGTTTTGATTTTGAACGGCAAAAGCCAATGGCGGCTACGGTGAACACACTGGCGGATGTCTTTTCAAACGTGCTTGTCGCTACAACGGACGAAGCAAAAGAGGGAATGAGACAAGGCTGCTTTAATTACATGTGTAGTGGTGGTTATAGAACAAACGGAATGATGGCTATTCTTGGAGGCATGAACCCTCGTCCCCTTACTCTAGCTCTTCATCTTGTAGACATCACTCTCTTCTCCATGGGCCAATTGCTCTCTCCCTTTCCTTCGCCCCGTCGCTTTTGGCATAGCCTCAGAATTTTTGGGGTAAAGATATCTACACTTTCTGACTATTTTTACACATGTATTGCATGTTCAACAACGGTTACGTATTTGTTGTTTTGATAACTTCCTATGTGTATCACCAGTTGGCTTTGCAAATGTTGGGTGCACATGTGGTGGATGAAGGATTCAAAGAGATGTTGATTCCTACAAACGCAGCTGCGTATCGCAGAAACTATATGGCCGTGGCCAGCGACTGTTGATTGATCTTCAGAACCAAGTCTATTTAGAACTCAAACAGCTCTATTTAAAAAAAAAAAATTTGAATAAAGAATTGGGTCCTGTTGAGCCTTTGATTATGCCTTGTTGTTTTGTTTTGAAACCAAACTTGGATATGTTAATTTGTTGCATGCTGATCTCTTTATTACACTCTATCTGTTGATTCTTGATTTTTTGCTTGTGTCTATTTCAATATCTTTGCTGATTCCACTAGGTCCCCCACAAACTCAACCTTCTTTGCTATAGCTAGGCTGGGCAGAGTCTTCTGTAAAAACTGGCATTATGAATAGAACAAAAATAAAATATGGGGAAGGAAAATAAAATACGTTTGGAGTTTTGTCAGAAAACTTAGTGACTTTATAATAAGGCTATGTTGATGCTTGTTAATAAAGCCACCAATTTTGGGTCCCACTATTGATCAGAAGACCATCCACGTATGGACCACGTAACCCCTCTCGTCATCTCCGCTTGTGCATGCTCGCAGCCGTTTGCAAATTTTTTTTTCTTTTAGCCATATATAGTGTTTACCGGTCAATGTCAGAGATTGATTTTTACAAAGAATTTCATTATCAGTCATTACGAATCTTGAAAGTGCAACGCTAATTGTATATGGTTTGGATTCTTATAGGTTTGAATCATAATTAAATATATTTTGAAAGATTCTCAATATGGGAATGAATAAAGCTGTAAATCGATGAAATATATTTCCAACAGTTGAACGCACATCGACTATATACAAATGAACATCAAAACTGTATATTCCAGGTCCAGGAAATAGAAAACCTCTTAATTTTTTTTACTAAAACAAAAAAAAAATTAATAGGTTTTCTAATTTATGGAAAAACCTCTTAATTTCTCTACCACATAGGAGTATATAATTTTCTGGTCTCTATTTAATAATAATCATAATGAAAATATAATTAAAGTAAATAGAGACCAAAATGAAAATGAAAAAAAAGGATCAGTGGATGAGATAAGTGAGGACCAAAGCCACCAAAATAAGGACATATGCTATGCCTTGGTCTATTGTTGTTCCTGTAATATTATTGTGTTCCAAAATTAACCATCCGAAAGAAACTTAACATTTGCAATATTCAGGCGAAAAACTGAAAAACAAAGAGTTGTATAACAGTATATCTATTGGTTACGAGATAGTTCCAACACAATTCCTTCAAATAAATTCATTGGTTCATTAGATCATTTCGCGAGCAAACATGTTTTGATACACCTTAAACTTCACAAAACGTGTATGCTCACAAAATGCACCATTGCCTAATTTGAATCTCTATATCAGATTCTTACTCACGGCCATTTTGATCTTTTATTGGTTTAACTACACGATTGAATGTTAAAGACTGATCAATAGCCAAGCTTGATTTTCGTATTGTCAATGATTACCTTTGATTAAATGTGTACACGTGAAACAATACACAAATTAGTGGTGTACATATGAATTATTGTACATGTGAAAAATGTTTAGTTTTGTATACATCAAACCATGTACATATGTGATGCAGCTCAACCAACGGTTACTTCGGTTCTTCCCTAACCGACATGATCACCTTATTTCCTTTTTCGTTTTGGGTTTTCTTTCCTTTTTATTTAAGGTTCTTTTCCTATTTGGGTAAGGATTTACAATTCCTTTGTTGCTTATGATTTTTATAGCTAATATAAATAGGTTACGTGATCAACCTTTGTGATCACGACTAATTGACTTAATAAGATTTCAGCTTTCTAAAGAGTTCTTATTGAACACTGCGAAGAGTATTCGCGCCCTCAAGAGTTCTAACGAACACTGCGAAGAGTATTCGCGCCCTTATCCCGTTACTTCACCTCCACGTTAGGTTTATAAGCTTCCGCTCTCCATCAGTTGGTATCAGATTCAGTACGTTTCTGGAAAGTCCTCTCTCGTTATCATGTCAAAGAAAACGACAGACGGAACTTCTCTGGATATGAATGATTTGCGTGCCCTACTTGTCGAGATGCAAACATCCTTTCAAACTTCGTTGCAGACATCGATCCAGCAATTGGGCGAGTCATTAACAACTTGTTTGGACTCCATGAACACCAACATCAACACGGTCCTGACTCGCGTAGATCCACGACATCCACACCTCCCACCTCTGCCACCAATTCATCAGACGCAACCTCCACAAACACGCCGCACTCAGCCACAACTTCCGGAACAACACCAACAGTATCGACAGCACCCAGGAGATCACGGGTATAATCAATTTGCTGATGCAGAAGCGCACAATGAGGACGACGAGCACCGGCAAGTTTATTTTCATGACTTACGTCAACACAACAACAACAACAATCGATGGGAAAACAGCTTTAAAGTAGACATACCGGAGTTTCATGGCGGCCTTAAGGGTGATGATCTCATTGATTGGCTAATTTCCGTTGAGGAAATTCTGGAATTTAAGCAAGTACCACCCCTTCGTCGAGTTCCTCTCGTAGCAATGCGTTTTCGGGGTCACGCGGCAACTTGGTGGAAGCAGCTTAAATCCACACGTGCCCGCGATGGTAAACAACCTATCCAATCATGGGAAAAACTTACCAAACACTTACGCCAAACGTTCTTACCTCACAACTACGAACGTACCATGTATAATCGGCTTCAAAACCTGAGACAAGGCAGTCGTACTGTTGATGAATATGCCGAAGAATTTGCTCTTTTGCTTACTCGGAATGACATCAACGACAGTCAGATACAACTTGTTTCTCGCTTCATTGGCGGATTACGGCCTCATCTCCAGACAGCAATGGCACAGTTTGATCCATCCACGATAGGCGAAGCACATCGACGCGCATCCTCATTTGAACAGCAATCCCAGTCACGATCTTCTTCATGGTCTTCTCAGTCCAATCGTACTAAGGACCAGTCGGGGAACAACGCGCCATCAACAGCTTCGAAAGAAGCTAGCGACACCGCCAACCCTTCGACCAAACCAAGCACACAGGAAGAACAGACCTTGCGACGTTCTTCACGTCCTAGCGCCCTTCGTTGTTACACTTGCGGAGAGCCAGGACACCATCAAACCAGTTGCCCTAACGCACCCCGTCGAGGCTTATTGGTTGATGAGACGCACGACAAGGAGGATGTTTATGACTCTCAGGACGAAGACGACCAATCTGACGACGATAACGTTCATCGCACTAGTGGGGACACGGGTCATCTGCTGGTTCTTCGGCGTTCCTGTTTCTCACCAAAACACAACGACGATAAATGGCTTCGTACCAATATTTTCCGTTCCACCTGCACCATCCAAGATCGCATCTGCACCTTTGTGATTGATTCTGGAAGTTCTCGAAACGTAATTTCCGAGGAAGCTGTTGCTAAATTGGGAATCACACGTGAAGTCCATCCTTCTCCTTATAATCTTGGTTGGCTTTCGGAAAGTGCGTCAATCCGTATCACGCACCGGGCGCTTGTCTCGTTTTCTATCGGCCCTTATTATAAGGATCGCATGTACTTTGATGTCGCTCCCATGGATATTAGTCACTTGCTACTCGGACGGCCTTGGGAATATGATCGAAAGATTGTTCATTATGGAGCAGATAATACTTATCAGTTCTTGTGGGATTCTCATAAGATCCTTCTTCTCCCATCCAAAGAGTCGTTTCCCAGCAAACAACCGTTAGTGTCAAACACTCCTCAACCACCATTACCAGCGGTTACAAAAACGTCACTTATATGTTCCTATGAGACATTTAAAAGCGAGTTCGATACAGAAGGAACAGTCTACGCCTTGCTTCCTACTCCAGTTTCCCGTCAACTATCAACAACAATTCCAAGCGTTATCGACACAGTCTTGAACGAGTTTCACGATGTCTTTCCAAAAGACTTGCCGACAACGTTACCACCTCTGCGGGACATTCAGCATAATATTGATCTCGTCCCCGGGGCTACCCTTCCAAATCGTCCTCACTACAGAATGAGCCCTGCAGAACATGAAGAATTACGTCGCCAAGTTGAAGACTTACTCCTTAAGGGACATATCCGCGAAAGTTTATCTCCGTGTGCGGTTCCTGCGCTTCTTATCCCAAAGAAAGATGGCACCTGGCGTATGTGTGTCGACAGTAGAGCCATCAACAAGATCACAGTCCGTTACCGCTTCCCGATACCTCGTCTCGATGATTTATTGGATCAAATCGGGTCAGCCACAATATTTTCAAAAATTGATCTTAAAAGCGGGTACCATCAGATTCGTATAAGACCAGGAGATGAGTGGAAAACCGCTTTCAAAACTCGTGAGGGTTTATTTGAATGGCTCGTTATGCCCTTTGGTTTATCCAATGCTCCGAGCACCTTTATGCGTATCATGAACCAGTCTTTGAGACCGTTTATTGGGAGGTTCGTTGTCGTCTACTTTGATGACATTCTTATATTCAGTTCCTCCTTGGCTGATCATCTGTTCCATATACGTGACGTTCTACATGTTCTCCGAAGAGAACAACTTTTCGCCGCCAAACACAAGTGCGAATTTGGCGTTCCCAAAGTTTTATTTTTGGGATATGTTGTCTCCGGCAATGGGTTAGCAATGGACAAATCCAAAGTAGAAGCGGTTCGATCTTGGCCTATTCCGAAGACAGTATCTGAAGTTCGTAGCTTTCATGGCTTAGCCTCCTTTTACAGACGTTTCGTTAGCCACTTCAGTTCGATTATGGCTCCTATCACCAGCTGTATGAAAGAAGGTCGGTTTGAGTGGACACCCGAGGCGACCGAAGCATTTGAGCTTATCAAGGACAAACTGACGACAGCTCCCATTCTGGTCTTGCCTAATTTCTCTGAAACTTTCGAGCTCCATAGTGATGCGTCAAAGTTAGGAATTGGAGCGGTTCTCAGCCAACATGGTCGTCCCATTGCGTTTTACAGCGAAAAATTATCAGGCGCGCGTGCAAGGTATAGCACTTATGATGTTGAGTTTTATGCTGTGGTTCAGGCCATTAAGCATTGGCGTCACTACCTCGTCCATCGTGAGTTCATTCTTTTTACGGATCACGACGCGTTGCGCCACCTTGATAGCCAGTCTAAGGTTTCTTCTCGTCACGCCTCGTGGATTGCATACCTGCAACAGTTCACCT